CGTCCCACTTATGTTCAGCAATACTATGCTTCATAGCAGACCAAACTGAGGAATCTTGTAAGCGCTGGCCTGACACCTATGGCAGTGCCCTTATAATTCATGCAAGAAAAGCTTCCTAGATAAGCCTTGCTATAAGAGTCAAGCATACCCTAAATTAACTATTTGGTACCCATGGGACCCAAAATGGGCTTCTGGTGTTGATGGTAAATTTTATTCTTGGGGTTTTGCCAAGCACCCCTCAACCTCTATCATAAAGTCTCCTCACATTTAAGACTCGGCCACTAGAGATACGCTTACCCTCCCCTTCCTCTCTCCAGCCCTGGGAGTCTCTGGCCCCTCCAGAAGGGGTCCCGAAAAACCTTGGCCAGGTCTTCCGTGACTCTGGCCCCATCCAGGTTGGGAGCCTCGACTGCCAGGATTTGGTGACAACCAATCTTTGCAGCTCAACTGCCTGATTTTTGGCTCTAGCAGGGATGCCCCTTTTACCAATAAATCAGTTCCTTCCCCCTCTCCCTTATACTACATTTGCAACATGGGTAATGCGTCCTCTCTGCTGGTCGACTCTCCCTTACAATGCCTTTTAGACAACCTCAAAACCCTCTCCTTGACACCAGGCATCAATATACAAGTGTTCCCTCAAATTCACATAACCATCCAGGAGCAAGAGAAGGAACTCCAACACCAACTGGATGCAGTTGCCCATCCTAAAGCTGACCCATTCTCACAGATGGCCCTAATACTTCAGGGCCTTCAGCTTCTCAATCCAAAGTTAATAACATTTCAGACTGTTTCCTCTGCACAAGTTTGGATCGTATTCTGTTAGTTAATTCCCACTGAGGAAGTACTTTTTTGTAACTCATCAGGGAATTTCCCTTGCTGCTACACTGCCTCTGGTTCAGCACCCTGTGACCAGATTGTTCGAATTTCTTCCCCAAACTTTGCTCTACCAGGGTTCTTTTTCTAGTGCAATGGTACGCTAACAAAAATCTAAGCCTCAACATGCCCTTTGCTTTTTGTGTTCCTTCCACTATGCTCCCTCAATTAAATCTGTACAGTGAGGCTGAATTAACATGGCTTGTTACTACCTCTCTTTCCAGGACAAGAAGGGCCGTCTTTCTATCCTTTAAAGCTCCACATTTCACGCCTGAGGGTTTCTTCCCCCCTTCCCAAGGAAGACTTTCCTCAACCCAAGAAACCCTCACAACAACATGCCTCACTCTAGTTCCACCCGTCTCTTTGCCACCCTCCTAGCATCCACTTCCCTCACCCCTACATCGTCTGCTTCATCAGACATCCAAGATTGCCCCAATAATTGGGATTTTCTTGTTCGTGCCTTTCTACCATGTATCATAAATTCCTACAGAATCAAATAGGCAAAATATCTAATCAGACCTTTAACCAGCTTCTCCTCGGGGATTACCAGCTACTTGCTACCTCAGCGGACACTTGTCCCTTACGTGAAGGCCTCACCAACGGCTGACGGCACTTCACCATCGTGGATATGGAGCTACAAAATGGAAACACGACTGGGGAAATTCACTAGCCTGTCACCCAGAGTTTCTAGGCCCATTTGCATTCGTGTGCCTCCTCCTGACTGCTGGTCTTTTCTCAGCCAGTCCCTCTCACCAGACCTCTGGCCAGAAGCTCCTCTTCCTTCTTCTTGCCTTCAGGGACAAGGATTGGATCGAGACTATCCATGACCTATGGCTTCAAGGAACTTTCATCGATCAGCCCCAAGGAAATTCACATTTTCAGTGCCCTGGCCTTTACAGCTATGCTTCTTTTGTCCCTGTACCCTGACCACTCATCCCTTCCTTCACACTCTTTGTCCCTCTCTAGCAGGAAGCAGCCAGAGGATCTCATTGCCCTGCTCCCAACATAAAAACAAAAAGGATGGAATGTTGGGTGTGTGGGAGACTCCCTGCTGAAGTTAAGTTTCCATCTCAGAGAGAACATCACAGAATCCCTTACCCCTCCTCCTCCTCTCTGAAGAGTGCCAAATTCAAAGGTTTCCTTGACCAATCCCCACAAGAAACAGTGTCCGCTCACTGTTCCTGAGTCACCCTTGGAATATCTGCTGATTGTGAGATATTGTTTCTGCTTCCATGACTATGCACACATTATAGCCCATCCAGAAGGCCTCTTCTATGCTTTTCAATACTTAACCTGCTCATCTTTCAAGGTTCCAAAAGAAGTTACCTGTTGTGAAGTCTCCCTCAATTCCTGGCAATCAGCACTTGCTGCGTCCCTATGCAACCCTTCTTCAGCCGAAGCTTGTAAGCACACGCCCTCTGCACTCTTCCTCTTCTTTCTCTCCTTTCTCTTTCTCTCTGCCCTCCTCCTCTCCTCTTTGCCTCTCCTTTTCTTCCCCTTTGGGCAGCCCCCCAATAAAATCTCCTTCTTGGGTGAGTCACTCGCCTTTCAGGTGTTTCCTTATAGCTTCTTAGTTTCTACAATGAACTCAGTCAAGAACTTGAGTGACAAATAGTAACAGTATTCATAACTCCAAATAAAATAGAAAGAAGACAAGAGGTACAGTACAGCATGGAATACAAATGTGTGCAATGACAATTATCAACAATTTCAAAATTGACAAATTATCAACAATTTCAAAAAAATTTTGAAATTATTGATCTCAACAATTTCAAAATCTAAAAGGTTGTGAAAACAAAAGCTTTTTTGTGTAAGTCCTAGTGGGAAGAACATGATCTGAACTATGTTGATAACACCTAAGACTCCTTCTCCACTGATGGTTACTACTCATATCTTAAGTTCCACAACTAATAACTCACTTGGTTAGAAACTGCTGCCCAGATTCCTGGGGTGTTATTTACAGACATTACACTATGTTGATGTTCTAAATGGTTTGTTACATTGTACATCAATGCACATGTTGCTATTCTAAAATATGAAAGTTTTCAAAGCACAGCTAGCCTGAAGATCAATATAAAAGAAATGCAGACCTATATAAACACCAATTTTTACCCAACTTGATTAATAATGCAAAATTGTATTTATCTGAAAAGATTCTATTTGACTCAAGCATTAAATATATAAGCACCAATAATAAATAAGGATGGTTTTATATGCTATTTATATGCAAATGCTCGTACTGCAGCATTCTGAAATATGACTCAGTCCAACCACTTTATAGAGACATCTTATGCTACCTACCAGGTAAATAACATATACTGCTATTACATGGCTCAGGAGACTAATACTTTGAAATCCCAATCAAAGACTCTGAGGTCTTCTTGATAAGATGCCACCAAACTAGGTAAAAACCTACTTGTGCCAGTAATTTTAACCAGTTTTTGTGATATTAGGCAGAATTAAAGTAATATCACACACTGCCTACTAGATGTATAAAGTTTCCCAACACAAATGCAAATTAGTTTTCACATAGTTCTAATAAGTTTATTCATGCTGAGGGGAGTCCACTAATCTTCAGACATTCTAAAGTGCTTTTTGAAGAAAATGAGTATGGTTTTCATACAAATGATATAAACAAAATTAAAGAAGGATTATATCTAGCACAGATTAAAAATACTTCATGCAGTTATTTCTCTTTGTCATTTACTTCTACTATACTTTGAAGCATTACAAATCCCCATGATGTCTCTTTAGATTATACTTTGCATTTAAATTTTTTATCTTTCTATTAATTTAAATTCACAAGCTCAAAGTTTGAACTAAGCAGAAATACTATGAACAACTATCTAAGATTTAAAGGAAAACTTTCTTTTGTTTCTTTAAAAGAGTTAAAAATCAAGAAACTTTCTTTAATGATTTATTCATTCAGTTCCATAGATGTATTACTATATATACTTTTTTCCTTTAGATTTATAATATGTAACTTCAAATATGTTCAATTTCTATAAAAGTCAGGTCAACATTTTTTTTCAACATTTAGGATTCTGAATTTTAGAATATCTGCTGATTGTGAGATATTGTTTCTGCTTCCGTGACTATGCACACATTATAGCCCATCCAGAAGGCCTCTTCTATGCTTTTCAATACTTAACCTGCTTATCTTTCAAGGTTCCGAAAGAAGTTACCTGTTGTGAAGCTTCCCTCAATTCCTCTAAATAATTATACTGCTTTTCTTCTTTGCTCCCATTATACTTCTTTCATAGTGACAATTACACTGCAATTATTTTTCTCATTTAACCACTCACAGGATAATAGGCCCATAAGATACAAGAATGAGGAGACATTCTTTGTTTCTGTGTCAAAACTTCATACCAACTGTCTCTCTCAATAAACATCTGAATGAATGAATGAATGATCAACAGAGTTAGATTCCATTATGAGGTTCATGATCTCCTCCAATGTGACATCTGGTAAGGAAGAAAAATTGTAGGAAATGCTAGTCTCTTGAAAGGCAGAAGAACTGAAGCAGACAGTCTTTAAAACAGAAGGCAGAATTAACAATTAACCCCAGATGGGCTGTGCATATTAAATTAAGATGAGATGTTGTTAGATATTAAAAGCTACACAGAAAGGGCAGCCATGGTAACTTGCTTTATTTCAAGTTTCCTCTCACTATCACATCCTAAAGCATTCTAACAGACAATTTTGAGTCAATGGTATAGGTTACAGAACAAGAGAGTTTTGCAAGAAGATATAAAATTATTTTAGAATACTCTAGATCAGTGTTTCTCAATCTTCATATACACAGAATCCCATTAGGATCCTTGTTAAAAATATAAATGATCATGTTCAGTAGGTCTAGTTGGGGTCTGAGATTCTGCATACCTATCAAGCTCCCAGAGGAAGTCTGATGCCAATCCATGGGACACACTTTAAAGGGCATTTTTAGAATAAGAGACATTTTCCTTCAAAGTCCATGTCAGACTTGTCTTGGGTTTTAACTGTTAAACCCTTATCAATAATCCTTGCTATAAGCTGTCTTAATGGTATTCATTATATAAATCATCACTGAAAATTCCACTAAATGAAATACATATTACTGAAAAGCTTTTAAATTTCTTTCTTACCTATACTCTGGTAATGCCATCGAAAGAAAATTCGCTCAGGTAGAAACTGCAGTATTTTCTATAAAATAAAAAAATAAAGTATAAAGAAAATAAACCATGAAATTTTGTATTCTTGTGTTAAGCCTATATTACCTGCTATTTTTAAGTTTCAGAAAAGAAAAGGAAAAGTATTTAACATAAATATTGCACTTTATTACATATTTCTATGGGAGTTTCTTTTACTTGCCCTAGGCAAGTTTCTTTCTCTGAATGTTTTAAGAGACTATTATCCCAAGTTTAACTCCCCAACAAGGTCAAAGAAAAAAACTTAATCACTCTGTCTTTATTAAATGACAGTCATAGCTTAAATATTAAAAGAATATTTTCCCAAATGACAGAATTCCCAGGTTTCTTCTTTTTCACCTTCTCCTTCCCATTTTCATCATAATTATCATCAGTCAAAAACAGAGCTGGGAAGAAAGAGGAACAAAAAGAAGATTAAAAAAATTCAGTAGGAAAAAAAACCTGAAACTGGTGGCAAGAATTTCATGATATTAACAGCATAAAAATGAGTCTTAGCATCATAGTTACGCATGTCCTCATTGGTAGATAAAGAAAAAAAAATCTACGATATACACAATTATTTGGCCATTAAAAGTAGCTCCCCATTCCCCCAAAATCCCTAACTAATGAGAATAACTTTTTCCCTCATTCCACAACAAATTTTGTCAAATTACTCTAGGGTAATAAAAGTCCTTGTTCTTTAGCTGTAACTACTTTTCTAAAAAATATAGAAAATCCAAAACTGGTCAAAATACCTTCCTTGGTATTGATAATACATTTCTATTTTACTCTGAAATTAGTAAAGAAAACTAAAAAAGGTACACTGGTACACTGCTGGTGGGACTGCAAATTGGTGCAACCACTCTGAAAGCAGAATGGAGATTCCTCAGAAAACTTAGAATGGAACCACCTTTTGACCCAGTTATCCCACTCCTTGTCATATAACCAAAGGACTTAAAATCAATGTACTGACCACATCAATGTTTATAGCAGCTCAATTCACAATAGCTAAGCTATGGAACCAATCTAGGTGCCCTTCAACAGACGAGTGGATAAAGAAAATGTGGAACAATGGAATATTACTTGGCCATAAAGAAGAATGAAATTATGGCATTTGCCAGTATATGGATGAAACCGGAGACTATCATGCTAAATGAAATAAGCCAATCCCAAAAAAAACAAAGGCCAAATTTTCTGATATGTGGATGCTAACATACAACAAGCGGAAGAGTAGGAAGAACATTAAGTTCAATAGACAGACAAAGGGGAAGAACGGGAAGGGAAGAGTGATAGGAACAGGAAAGACAGTAGAATAACTGGACGTAACTTTCCTATGTTCTTATATGAATACACAATTAGTGTAACTCCACATCATATACAACCACAAAAATGGAAAATTATACTCCATGAATGTATATGTCAAAATACATTCTGTCATTATAACTAAAAAGAACAAATAAAAAAGAAAAAAGAAAGAAAATCTCCCTTCTAGGTTTAACTAGCCTTCTATTCTAACAGATCAAAAAATAATGTGATATAATATCCAGATCTCCTGGGTAAGTATGTTTTTAGGTAGGTAATGAACCGCTTTCTCCCTTTCAGCCAGCTTGAGTTTTTGTTTTGTTTCCTTGTTTGTCCAAGTGGGTCAGTTAAAATATGACACATCTATTTGTTTCATTTGTTCCCAATGAACACCGAAGGAATATATACAAACTTCTGAGAAAAGCCTCAACAGACAAATTTCTATCAAACATAAGTGAATATAAATAACAGGGACTTTTCTTTTATCCTGTACCACTTTTCCACTCATATCCCTACACAGGTGATATCTCCTTGCCATTCAAGTCTCACTTCAAGTGTCACCTCCTCATGAGGCTTTTCTGAGAACTCTATCTAGTGGAGCCTGGCCCTGTTCCCACACCTCCAGGGCTTTCTCCTTTATCTGTCCTGTCCTCTTCATAGTCCTCCTCCTTAGGTGAAAGGATCATACTGATTTACCCATTTTAAGACCACATGCCCTCCACCAAAAGTGTAATAAGCTCCAAGAGAACAACACTTTTGTTGTTCCCTGATGCACTGCCAGCACCTAGAGGATCTCTGACTGGTATACAGGCATACTCAGTGAATGCTCAGGAAATAAATTTTGAATTCTTTTTTCTTATGAAATATTAAAATTTGTAGGTAATCAAACCTATGTTCACATCAACATGGCATGTGTCCCATCTTTCTTTAAATATCATTGAGTTAAGGACATTTAACTCTAAAATTAGTAAAGAAAACTAAAAAATAAAGCTGTAAATTTAAAACAATTGCTCTTCCAAGATGATAGACATAAAATATAAATGTCCTTAGTTACATAACTTGTTATAAATTCTTCCCATCTATAAAGGTAAAAATGCAATACAAACCATATCAAAGATTATTTCTGATTATATAAAGCAGTAAACAGCTGATCACATACTGAAAAATCACTAAGAAGTTCTCTCCGTTCTCTTTTTTGAATGGGAAAGCCTTCATTTAGACTGTCTTTAGAACATTTTGGTTTTTATTTTTTACTATTTCAAAATTAATTTATTTTTAATTTAAATTTGCTATTAATCAACAACAATTGTATTTATTGGGTCACAAGGTGGTGTGCTTTTTCATTTATTTATTTGTTTGTTTTTGCAGTACTAGGGACTGAATTCAGGTTCTGGCACATGCTAGGCAAATGCTTTACCATTTAGCTACATATCCTCCCCTCAAAGTGATATGCTGATGTACAGACATTTTGTGGAATGATTGCAACAAGCTAATTAAATATCCATCACCTCACATACTTGTTATTTGTGTTGACAACACTTAATATATATTATATTAGTAATTTGAAATATAAAATGCATTACTATTAAGTATGATCACCATGCTCAAATCATATTCTTCCTGTTTAATTGAAACTTCAAACCCTTTGAACAACAAGTCTCCTTTCTCTACCTATCCCTTACCCCCGAGTCTCTAAAAAACTGCCATTCTATTCTCTGCTTTTTTCAGTTTGACTTTATTAGATTCTATAAATAGGAGAGATCCTTTGGTATTTGTCTGGAAGTACAAACATAAAACAAATGCAAATAAAAATGCCTAGTCTCACAATTGTTAGGCAAGAGAGAAAATACCATTCACAAAACAAAGCAAAAAGCCTTGACAGAAATTTCTAAGAGGTAATACAGAAGTGAGGGCAAAGTGCCTCATCTCAGAAGAGCTTCATGAACTGTTTCCTGGAAGAAAGCAGCGGAGACTTAGAGGATGAATCATCTTAGCCTACTGGAGAATAGGGATAGAGGAACAGAATTGGAAGTGACAAAAGGCAAAAAACCCTGAGTGTCTTAAAGTAACAATATCATCTCACTCCAGTCAGAATGGTAGCTATGGCATGTGTCCCATCTTTCTTTAAATATGAGAATGTGGGGGAAAAGGCACACTCATACACTGCTGGTGGGACTGCAAATTGGTGCAGCCAATGTGGAAAGTAGTATGGAGATTCTTTGGAAAACTGGAAATGGAACTACCATTTGACCCAGCTATCCCTCTCCTCAGACTATATCCAAAGGACTTAAAAACAGCATACTACAGGCACACAGCCACAATGATGTTTACTGCAGCACAATTCACAATAGCTAAACTGTGGAACCAACCTAGATGCCCTTCAGTAGTTGAATGGATAAAAAAAAATGTGGCATATATACACTGAATATTACTCAGCAATAAAAGAGAATAAAATCATGGTATTTGCAGGTAAATGGATGGAATTGAAGAAGATAATGCTAAGTGAAGTTAGCCAATCCCCCCAAAAAACAAATGCCAAATGTTTTCTCTGATATAAGGTGACTAACTCATAGTGGGGTAGGGAGAGGGAACAAGGGAGGAATAGACGAACTCTACATAGGGCAGAGGAGTGGAGGGGAAGGGAGGAGGCAGGGGGTTAGCAATGATGGTGGAATGTGATGGACATTATTATCCAAAGTACATGTATGAAGACACAAATTGGTGTGAACACACTTTATATACAGAGATATGAAAAATTGTGCTCTATATGTGTAATAAGAATTGTAATGCATTCCCCTTTCATGTATTTAAAAAATAAAATCAATAAAAAAAGTAACAAGAGCAGTAGGAGGGTCAGTGTGGCTGATGGATGAGTGAGGAGGTAAGGAGACGGCATTAGGAAGGCAGCTGAAGCTGCAGGTTAATATTCTCATGGGAGCAGTGCAGCGTCCATTAAAGGGTTCCAGCTGGAGGTAAATTTGAGATGGATGAGAAGAGAAGCAGAGATATCAATGAAGAAGCAATGGTAGTATTTCAGAGGAGAATGAAATGGTCTGTACCATGGTCAGCAAGATAAAGAGAGGCATATAATTAATAGTGATATTAGGAGGTAAAATTGTTAGCATGGCAGATAGAGTGGTTTGGGTAAATTGAAGATTAAGAATTACTCCCACGGTATGATAAAAGGCAATGCTTTAATTCAAGACATCAAGTCCAAAAGGAATCTAATACTTGAGGAGAATAAGCATGTCAAATTAAAGCATCCTAGAACTGGGCACCAATGGATCTTAATGTAGTCTCTCCTCTAGGCAACTGGAGGGTCTGGAGGACAGGAGCAGAATGTGATGTCAATGGGGCTAAGTTACTGGCTAAAAAATGTGTATAAATGAAAGTCACTGGGAGAGAGCTTAAAATGAGAAAACAAGAAGAATCCCTGGAGATATCAACACATTGAGGGAGTCCTGCTAAGAAGGTAAGGATGAAGGTATAGCAGGAGCTAAAGACAAATGTGCAAAAATCAAAGAAGACACCTTTGAGGCACCAGCTATTTATATGTTTATTTATTTTAAAAATCAGAAATACTTATGACTATACTCACAACTTTAAGAAAAAGTTAAAGAAAATGGATGCCAAATGATAAAATGACTTCAGTATTAAATCCAAGGAGCTCAAAATTCTTGCCTGGAGAAGTCATCATCTTTGTAAACCAGACAA